CAAAAAGATTCATTAACGACATCGAAGAAGAACGAGCTTGGATACAAAAGATTGACGGAAATTACTTGAGAAGCTTAAATGGTTGTAAAGTCAGAATGGTGATGATGAATTTAAGTTACTGTAATTAATCTCTCTTCTGCCGAGTTTAGGAACCAACATTACTAAACTCCACCAGAGAGAGACCGTTGACGGTCATCAAAAAAAAAAAACTAGAATGATAGTAAATGAAAATGAGAGAAAACGAGAAAAACAGAAAAAGAGGCAAAGAGGGTTTTCACGAAAATATTTCTGAATATTGTACATTTTATAGTGTTGGTAATAATGTGATGCAGATAATAAAGCCTTGTTGTTTCAATTTCATGACAAAAAACGATACAATGAAAACTGAATATATTGATAAAACCTAAAAAGGAATAGAACATAAATATCTAGTGAGACACTATCTATAGAAGTTTTTGTTTCAAAAGAGATAACTCAGAAAGAGTGACATGAGTTGGAAAAATAATTTCGCATCTGATACCGGACGTTTTAATTAGCTATTTACACATGGTTTATAATAAAAACAGGTAATTGTGAATGATTATGAAAAGAAATGATTCAGACAAAGTGAAATAAGTTCAAGGAAAAATGTTTAAAATTTTCATTTGATATCGGATGTTTTGATTCCAGTTATTCATACATTTTTTAAAAATAACACACGGTATATACTTTCAGATATATTTTTGTCATTAAGTTTGTCTGGAAGACAACTTCCTATCTTTTCTCAACAATTTAATTTATATACATATCTTAATTTTGCATTATTTCTTATTGAATATGGTAAATATTTCAAAAAAATTTTAAAATTAATAACAAAAAAATATTTACTGCATCTTCGTGTCGGGACGTATCGGCACACTTCGTGGCGCGAACGTCAAGAAGCGCGCGCTGGCCAATCATGTGGTGGCGGGATCGGATGGTGGCTCTAGACTGAGATTCCAGATGGGAGACAAGTAGTATCCTTCCTCTCGATTGATATTATGGGGATTTTTTCGGATCTCTAGAGATTCGCGGATTTTCCTGGAATAAAAGAAGGGGCTCTTAGAAATAATATGGGTTTTTTCGAACAATATGGAATGACCGGTTTCTTGGCAGTGTTCGGCAACTGCAGAATGGGAGAAAAGACCTGATCGAATGCATCTTTGATGCTCTTGAATCCGAGTTTTGACGGAACGACCAGTTTCGCCAATATACACATGTCCACATGAACAAGGAATAGAATAGACACCACAGGAAGATAGGGGCGGTAATGGGTCCTTAGGAGAGGGTAGATATTGTGAGATTTTCTTGGGTGGTCGAAAAGTAGTCTGATACCTTCTTTGCGAAGAATTTTGCCAATCCTATCAGTGACATTTCGAATATACGGAAGAAAAGCCACAGGAGTATTACCCGTAGATTCTGAATTTGTTGTCCTAGGGTGTAAAGGGGGATGTAGATGTCGGTGTGTAATATTTTGAATTGTGGACTTGGAGTAACCATTGGCGACAAGGGTTTTTTGCAGATGGCCAAGTTCTTCTCTAAGGTTGTCGGGTTCAGAAATCGAAATGGCCCCGATGGATGAGAGAGTTGATCACAGAATTCTTTTGGGCAGGATGGTGGTGTGATGAAGCATGTAGGTAACGATTCGTGTGAGTCTTTTTTCTATAAACAGAGTGACCCAATCGGCCATTGGGCTTGGAGGTGACTAACACATCGAGAAAGGGAAGGGACCGATTATTTTCTACTTCCATTGTGAATTTTATACTCGGATGTTGTGAGTTAAGATGATCTAGGAAGGAAGAAAGGGTATGCTGACCATGGGGCCAGATGATAAATGTATCATCAACGTAGCGGAACCAGACTTTTGGTTTTAAGGGGTAAGATTCTAGGGCTAAAGACTCAAAGGCTTCCATGAAAATGTCAGCAATGACAGGGGAAAGGGGAGAACCCATTGGTGTTCCAGATATTTGTTTATAGAAATTGCCTCTAAAAGAAAAATATGTTGAAAGGAGGCATTTTTCGGCAAGATCTGCCAAAACCAAAGACTTGTTATCATTGGTCAAGTGATCTCGCAGAACAACTAGAGAGTCATGTATGGGAATATTGGTAAATAGGGATGATACATCGAAACTGACGAGAATATCTTGGGGATCGACTGTGAGAGAGGAGATTAAGGTGATGAAATGTGTGGAATTTCGGACATAAGAAGAGGTACGACCAGTATAGGTCTTAAACTGATTGGACAAGTACTTTGCGAGTTTGTAGGTAGGAGAGTTAATCGTAGTCACAATGGGACGAAGAGGTACGTTATCTTTATGGATTTTCGGAAGACCATAAATTCTGGGGCAGATGGAGTTTTTTGGAACTATGGACTTCTTACTGCATTAATTTTACATACGCGCTGAATTCCTGCTATATATTTTATATTTTCATATTTTTTTTATTGTGTATTTCCCTGATATTGTTACCTAAATCTCACTTTCCCAAACTTCAAGGTTTATACCGAAATAACACAACGTTTTTATTATTGTTTTTTATATTTTTATTTGTTTATTATTAATTTTACAGCTATCTTAGGTTTTGTTATAAGATTCTGTGATCATTATCTTTGTTGTGAGTAAAAGATGTAATAAATAAATAATATATCTACAAGACTTTATACAAAATTGTAAAATATCGGTCCCTGATATTTGATAAGTTGTTTCTACCAGCTTCTAAGACCGCAGAACTTTTGACTGATCCCCGTAGAAATTTAAAGCTGTTCTAGCTATAGGTATTTTTTGAAAATACCTTGTAATTATAAAAAATTTGCTTTAACCTATTTTTACTTGGTATTTTTATGTATATACTCTACAATTTAGATTTTCATAACAATATTTAAGTACAAATATTTACGAACAAATTTTCGTAAAAAACTTCAACAGTTATTCGCAGAGGAAGAAAGGTTATGATCACTACAATTTCCTGAGCGAAAGAAAAGATAAGGTAACCATATAACCTAAGTCAGTAGCACAGTTATACAAACTGTGAAAAATTTAGACTCGTTTACTGATATGAAAAATAACAAATACATCAGTAAACAACAACTGGTATCAGCTTGTACAACATTTAAAGGAATTGAAAAATGATACAGGCCATATATGTTCTTCTTTTCATCCACGCTTTTTGATTCTCTCCTATATAATGTTTTTTTAAAAACTATCTTCTTCTTCTTCTAGTTCCATGACCGTTATCGATCGTTGGATATCATGTTGGCTACCATATTCGCTATCGTGACTTTATTGACAGCAGCTCTAAATGACGATGTAGTTGATTTTCCATACCATTGCCTTAGATTTTTCAGCCATGATGTTCTTCTTCTACCAGGACCACGATTACCTTGGATCTTTAGCTGAATGATCAGATGTAAAAGATCATATTTTTCAGGGTGTCTCATAATATGACCGAAGTATTCCAGCTTGCGTTTCTTTATTATATTGACCAGTTGTGTTGTTTGGTTCAGCCGTCTAAGGACCTCCTCATTTCTAACTCTGTTTAACTAGTAGTAAAAACGTAGTAAAAACTATGCTAGTTTATTTTGAACATAGTATTCCCCTTGTTTCTTCTACTGTTACGTATCTAGTGCTAATGCTATTCTTCTGGTTTCAGGTATTCTTAACATAATCACCTCAACATTTTGTCGAATATAAACTCAAAATTTGCATTAGGTAACTTATCAAGGATATCTTGCTCTGTAACGTGTTTCACATTTGTCTCTTTAATGTGCTGTTCTATCAGTGTGCATCTCTATAGATGTCCAGATTGTTAAAATATAACGGAAGGTTATCTTATTGGGAACCCTCTAACATATTTTCTTGACGACATGCTGATTGAATGCTTTTGAACGGCTTTCTTGTTAAATTCGTCGTCGTCCTAATTGATGTCGCTACTTCTTTCAATGTTATTCTAGTTGATACATGTCTATAAGCGATAAGATAGGCCAAATGATTACGTACGGAATGAATGAAAATATTAATGCTGATATAGCCATTGGCCATAGTAATGGAGATAACACAATCATAATAAATAGAGACTTAAAGAATTATCTTTTAGATGCAAATATTTTAAAATAGACACCCACTGTTTGAGATTCCTTTCGTGCCAACCCTGTTCCATAGCTGTGCACACACGCGCCGAATATGACGCGAGCATTACACTGTGTCAGCAGAGGGAGTGTGAGTCCAGCTTAGAGGTACTAAAAAGACAATGAAAAACATACAGGATCATAATGTCTTTTCTTGGTATGCCTGTAGTTCAGACTCCCTCTACTACCACAGTTTAACACTCTTGTCAAATTCGGCGCATGTTTGTACTGCTATGAAACAGGGTTGGCTCAAAAGAAATCTCAAACACTCACAAAAGACAAAAACAGTCGACTCCGGGAATATTGGAAGATAAGAATTGAAGACGATAAGAAACACTTGCAGATTAATAAAGAAGGCCTAAGTTTTTCGGTGATATAGTTGCATGAAGACCAAGAACAATGTTTTAAATAAATTTGTTTATAACTCAACTTAAAATTGAGTTACTGCAATGAGTTTTATTACCTTTTTTGAAAGGTTAAATAAGTTTTATCATTCGAAAACACTACTAAAAAACATACTAACCATTATTTACAATTTAACTCTGGATTTTTTTATTTGTACAAAATTACGTATTTGTTACGGATATAGATGAAAAGGATATCACTTCTACCTACAGGGGTACTAGTACACATAGCATTAGAAGCTGGTAAAAGCTCGTCTTATTTAAATGACTGTACTGGCTTTGAACCATATCTGTCTCAACTCTTCTTCTTCATTTTTTAAAACAGTCTTATACAATTAGGATAGTTTACAAATATACACAATTGTATATGTACATCGGTAACAAATTTATACAATTTTCCCATTCGTCTTTTCGAAAAAAGTCCATCACTCGATTCATTTTTTTTTAAATTTTGTCTAACAATTGTATTTTGTCGATAGGCCTAAATTACAAGCGTATAAATCTGGTTGGGGATACATACTAGTGTTGCTGGGCTTTTTCACTTCGCATTTTTCTCCGCTGTAATTATCTGGACAACTGGAATATAAAAAAAAATTAATTACTAAAAATAAATGTCAATACAATTTAAATTATATTGTAGATCAGGGGTGCTCAAACGGTCGATCGCGATCGACTGGTCGATCGCGAGTGCTTTTTGGGTAGATCTCGAGAAGAAAAAAAATTTTAATAAGTAGGTAGGTAACTAAACTACTGTCAGCAGAGTTAAACGTTTTTATTAATACTGAACTATACAAATACATAGAATGCTTGATTAAGCATCATTGCAATTCAAAGAAGTGGGGACAACAAAATACTGTCCACACAGCATATTTTATATTTACATATATTAACTAATTATTTTATTAATTCAATATTTATCATAATTATTAATCAAATTTGGGATGATATTCTATCAACTACAAAAATGTATTACGTAATAAAATAACACTGCTTGCGGCAAAAGGTGGCTTTATCAAAGGAACGCGCGGCACTTGTCCAAGAAAAGCCGTGTTGTTTCTAGACGAGAGACAGTACAGTCTAGTTTCGGGCGGCGCGTTTGACGGCAACATTCGAGACTTTCGTTCACGCCGATATAAATGTTGCGCCTGCAGGAATTGGAGTTATTCTGAATTGTAACTTGATAGCGATCCTACGTCGATACAAAGTTTATTATTAAATAGTGGAAAATGAGTGCAGTGAAGAAATCTAAAACGTATCATTTTAATAAGGATTGTGAGGAAGAATTTTTCTTTTTTATGGAGAAGGATAAGTGCATTTGTGTTATTTGTCGTGCGTCAGTTGCAATACCTAAGCGTGGTAACTTAGAGAGGCATCATAAAACGGTTCATAAAAACTATGAAAAGGATTTTCCGCCACAGAGTGAATTAAGAAAACGAAAAGTAAGTGATTTGATATCTTGTTTGAAAAAAGAACAATCCATGTTCACAAGACCAGCCAAACAATCAAAAGCTGCTACGATCGCGTCATTTAAAATATCTCATATTTTGGCGAAATACAAGAAACCATTTGAAGATGGATCGGTGGTGAAGGAAGCATTTATTGAGGCGGGTGAGACTTTATTTGGAGATTTTAAAAATAAAACAGAAATCATGTCTGCTATTAGAGAACTTCAGTTATCTCGTCCGACTGTCACAAGGCGTATTGAAGTCATGAGTCAAGACATCGCAGATAAACTAAAACATGATATCATGGAATGTACATACTTTTCTTTACAGTTCGACGAATCCATCGATATGACAGACACTGCCTAGCTGTGTATTTTTATTCGGATGGTATTCAATGACATGTTGGCTAAGGAAGAATTTTTGACAATCATTCCTCTGAAGGGAAGACCCGTGGCGAAGATATATATGACGTTTTCTTAAATTTTGTAAAAAACTACGAGCTAGCAATATATAAATTAATGTGCATTACAACCGATGGAGCACCAGCAATGACTGGAAACAAAAACGGTTTTGTGGCATTGTGTCGAGCTAATGAAGAACTCCCTTCATTTTTTTCATTCCATTGCATTATACATCAACAAGTTTTGTGTTCAAAAGTTTTAAACACGGAGGAAATTATGGTCATTGCAACAAAAATTGTGAATTCCATCCGTGCACGTAGCTTGCAACGGCGGCTCTTTCAGTTGCAGTTGGAAGATAGGGAGTCAGCTGAACACACTGATCTAGTTCTTCACACGGACGTCAGGTGGTTGAGTCGCGGAAAATTCCTAGAAAGGTTTCAAGAATTATTGCCCGAAATAACAGCTTTTCTAGACGAAAGAAGTGATGACACTCAGATTTTGAAAAACGAAAAATGGCTAAATGATTTGGCATTTTTAACTGACATCACAATGCACTTAAACACCGTTAACTTGGAGCTTCAAGGTAAAGGAAAAACTATTATTGAGATGGTTAGCGCAGTAAACGCATTCAAAAGTAAATTGCAACTTATGATAGATCAACTGAAAAGAAAGGATCTGAAACATTTTCCGTCTTTGAAAGCAAGGATTCCTCAGTTGAATTATGATACGTATGAGGCTGAATTATCAAATATTTTGGGACAATTCGAAATGCGTTTTTATGATTGCAGTAAATTGAAAATATAGCATCATTTATGAGTTATCCTTTTTCATGTAAAAACATTGAGGAATTAGCTACTGAAATAGCAAGTCAGTTTAATATGAACTCATGTTCTGTTGAAAATGAGTTGGTGCAGATTATATCAGATATACATCTCAAAGCTACAGTATCTGATACAAATTTCTGGCGTTTTATATCTGAAGATAAATATCCGAATGTAAGGCAAATTGCCCTTCAACTGACAGCATTTTTTGGGTCAACTTACTTGTGCGAGTCTGCATTTTCTGAAATAAAGATAATTAAGTCAAAATATCGCAATCGACTAACTGACGATCATATGACATCATGCTTGCGATTAGCACTCAGTGGTTACGTACCATCTTATGAAAAGTATGCTGAGGACATGCAGTGCCACGCTTCAACATCCAAAGCCACTCCTTAGTTAAGTTTAACACCATATGTAACTCTTTTGTTTTGTAACAACAAATAAACTCGCAATTTTGAATAACTATGAGTTTTTTCATTGATATTGTAGAGAAGAACCTAACTAAACCTAACCCAAACCTTGACTAAAATAATGTACCTATATTGTGCAGAAAGCTAATATCTATATATGTTACGGTACGCCCTACCTAGGTAGGTAGGGTGTATCGTGTATGTACGACAACCCTGCATCACACACACTTGCAGTCTCTCAGAGTCGATCGTAAGTAGTCTAAAAATATTGAGGTAGATCGCCAGCAGTTCAAGTTTGAGCACCCCTGTTGTAGATTATGAAATGATGAACAAATAAAATTCTTCATCTAAGCAAAAAATTGTTGGATGAAGATATTTAAACCAATTTAAACGATTAAATTGATTATTATCTTCACATCTTTACTCCTATTGCAGCGTGATTGACGCCTTCTTCAAGTACTTCTGATTTTCGGCTACTACCCAAAAGCTTACATCGGCCAAACTGGTAGAACTCTTATCAAACGTAGTTTGATAGGCAGACAAGTATTGGCAGACCAAGAAAATTATATTGCGACAATTTAAACAATCTAGGAGGCTAATATTGAAGAAGAAACAGTCTTTAAAGCCTACATACAGGGAGGAAGAAGAAGAAGAGTTCGAATCGTCCATAATAATCGAGATGTCTCTAGCCTTTGTATTATCGAAGGCTTATTGAGGTTTATATTTATCATATTTTAGTATATTTTTATAAGACTATTACTTATAATTGTCAAAAGAATTGACTAAGTTAATAATAAAAAGAAGAATACTTACAAACACCCATAGTAGTTCATCGATGCTTCATGGAAGCATGTTCCCCCGTTTTGGCAAAAATCTTTGTCAAAGTTTTCTGAACATTTTTTATCTGAAAGCAAAAAATATTAGTTAGATTTATCGAAAACTTCAACATTAAACACAACCATAATATTTGTGTCACACCCAGACCCAACTTTTATTTTGTTAATTTTATTTCAAAGCTAGTTTAAAATTTTGACTAGATTATATACATTTATTTACAGGGTGAGATATTTTTCGATGACTACGTGAAGAGGAATCTGGGAAAATATAGTAAGTAAGAGTACAATGATTTTTAAATAGGAAAATAATTGCTTTCTTATAACATTTTTAAATTCCTTTTTCTTTCAGTTATTAGTACTCCAATAAAAATTAGAGAAGATATTCCACAAAGTAGAAGATACTCGAGTATATCGGTTGTGTTGTTATAAATACTGGCATGATGTTGTCATCCTTAGATCGTTTGTTTAGCATTTCATTTGATAATAATAGGCAATCGTTTCACGATTGCCTTTGATGAAAAACTATTATATTAACTCGTTAAAGGGATGTAATGATAAACGAACTCAAATATAGGTCAAGATTACTATGTAAACAATAAAAATTAACTACTTATAAAAACAACTGCGTCTTTCGCAATGCTATGAGGTCTGTAGCCACGTATATTTTTTTAACTTTGCTAGTCGTCTATTTATTTACTTGTAAAGGCCAATGCCAATATCCTATCGGTTTACCTGAGTTATTAATAATTAATATTATATTTAAGACTGTACTCTATAAGACTTTAGATGATAATTACGAGTAATTAATCTCAGAACACCTTCGCCTTATGGAAGAAAAAATTTAATTTTATTCAGAGATTGAGTAACGTCTTCTTTCACCTTTTATAAAAAAATTCATCTTTTTCCTTTTGTTTTTTTCTATTTTTGTTCTTTTACCATGATGTGTACATTTATTTGCAATATTTACAAATATAAAGTAATAATAATATTCTGACTACTATTTAGTAATTGAAACAATTCGAATATTGAGACGTTGGAATAAAACAAAAAAATTATTATCATTCAGAGAAGTGTTCAGTGTATTTGCTACAAGAAGAAAATGTAAGAGATCTACACAAAGTCACGTAAGTCAGTCGATATATTCATGCGAACAACAATCTACGAACTTAGATATAAATGATAAATAGAGAAATTTGAAAACATGTATTGAAAAAGCAGCACTACGCAAGAAAAATAAAATAATATGCTGGAAGGATTACAAATGACAATGGAATCAACAAATCAAAAACGTGCGAAATGAAAGAAATGGACATATCACGACAACATACAAAATAGGAAAAAAAGCAACAAATCTGGAGATGTTATATCCCAGGCAATTGTTAATAAGCTCCAACATCAAGAATTGCTGCATCAAAAGGTTCTATGAACCAATCTCAAAGACCCAATATAAATCTATAGGGGTTTGCGCATCAATCAGAACAAAAACTCAATTTTAAAAAGGGCAAATGGATAAACTTCGTAGATGAGACAGACATGTCCATCAATAATCTAAATCCTTCCCCAGAGCACTTTATCTTTGTAGAAACAATCAAGAGAATATCAAGACGACACATACTTGCAGACAGCATTTCATACTGAGTCTTTCCGATGAGTCAAAAAATTATTCTGGTCAAATACAAAAGACAGTATAGTCAAAATCCATTCAAACCAAGTGCATGGACAGCTTGGACCGAATAGATATGACAAACAGTAGTAAGATGGCATGGAACCTTATTAAAAAGCTCAGCTGTGTTCCACTGAAACCTTGGCAACCCTATTAAATAGCACCAGACCAAGTAACTCACCAGCTTTTATTAAACTGAGAGCTTGTGAAATGTAAAATTTTCTATTAGTGAAAAAAGTAACACTTTAAGAAGCAATTGTTTTATCAATTATGATTTCTATCGAAAGAATTAAGAATCTATGTAAATAATAATGGTATAAAATTGCCATTAAAAATTATCTCATCCTGTAAAAAAGTTTCTAGTATCATAACCCCTTTTAAATTTTGTCTATTAACCTCTATAATACAAAAAAGTTTTATATAAATACGTGACCAAAAGCGCATAAAATTAGTATGTACAAAATAAAAGTTCTTCAATAAAAGTATTAAAGGGTAAACTACGAAAGAAATCCTTTAATTTTTATGAAGTATTCCCTATACCTAAACTTATTACTTTTCTAGGTATTTGTAGTATTCTTCAAATTTCGGGAATATCTTAAATTTTTGTAAGTAAACTTGCACTTTTTATTTTGTAGTAGCTTAATCTTGTGCAATAATATACTAAAATTATTTATATACAATAATTTTTTTTCTCCCAAAAAGGACATCTTTCGATATCTATCTATCTAATTAGCCTTCTCCAATCAAATAAATAACCAATACAAAATATAATCCATAATGACATGTAATGAATGTAGCAATTAATTTGATGTTAAGGAAATAAGTCTAGATTGGTTCTACCCTCATCGCCTTCCTCCGCTAAGCACGTATTCCATATATTTCTCATGTCTTTATCGATGTTATCAAGGAACCTTGTTCTAGGTCTTCCTCTTCTTCTCTGACCAATGGTCTATCAAGGAGCGTTTTTCTAGCTGGGTCATTTTGTTCCATCTGCATTAGATGCCTTACCCATCTCAGACATCATATCTTAATATGTTTTACCTTTAATATCTGGTATCTGGAAAATATCTTAACATGTTTTCATTATTTTTGTCAGAGTCCAGCTCTCTGAACCATATGTTAGGTCCGGGCGCATTATTGCTTTGTATAGTTTTACTATTGTATTTATCGATATAATTAAGGATTCAAGGAGATTGAGATTAAAATAGCATGTGTTGGCCGTGCAAATTCTGCGTTTGATATCTGTGGTACTATTATTTTCGATGACGTCATTTTCTATAACAAGTTGTCGTAGGATTTGTGGTTGCGTGCTTATTTTCATATACTTCGTTTTTTTGTTGTTCATTGTTAAATCCATTTTTGTAGCTGATTCTTTTAGTGCTACATACGTCTCTCGTACAGCGTTTTCTGTTCTCCCAACAACATTGATATCCTCAGCATAGGCCAGGATTTGCACTGATTTATTATATATTGAACCGGTGGTTGTGATATGCGCGTTACTTTTTCCAGAGATAGATTGAACCGATTCTCCTTGAAACATGCCCGTTATTTGTTTTAAAAGTCCAGACAGTTTCCTCTGGATTCGTACTCTACATTTAATTTTTTCAAGAGTTAATTTTGTTAAATTTGCCAACTGATTTGCTATTCCCAGCTCTTTCATTGCTTAAATAAAAGATTTTTCTTCTATTTACAGAGTAGTAGGCTGCTTTGTAGTATATAAATAGGTGACAAGTATCTACGTCATATTCTACTTGTTTGTTTTTTCTAAACTTTGTCTCATGGTTGCAATCTGGTGCATTGTCGATTTACCACACGGTGGCCTAGTACTCTGGAAAATATTTTATACGCTGTATTTAGAAGCGTAATTCCTCTGTGGTTATAGCATTTAAAGATATCTCCTTTTTTGTGTATTGTTGGTGGTTCCATTTCCCTCTCGTCTGTTTCGTTTACCTCATCTCTTTCGTCTTCCAGGTTTTATTCCTCTAGATTAAGTACCTGATTAAAGTATTCTAAACTCGATTTCATCGTTCTTGGCGTGTGCCTGAAATAAGCTACTACGGAATTTTTAATATTCGTCTCTCTCTGATACACAGATGCGTAATTCAATTGTGCGAGTCACGTTCGTCATGGTAAAGTGAGATGAGAAGGGAATGAAGAGACCACTCACGGGTCCCAGTATTGTAGCAATAACACCGATGCGTTTGGCCGATACGGTGTCGGTGATAAGTTCGGCCTCTTTATGAATACAGATAGCTGTCACTGGAGGAGGTAAACGAATCGAGCTTAGACAAGGAAAGACAGATGAAACAACTTATTGCAAGTGTTTTTACACGCACATGCCAAGAAAGATGAAAACGTCTATACCCATCTATTCAATACATCTTTTCTTGTTGTTAATACGTCACTAATAATTCTGACTCCTGCATTGTCTTGTAGTTGCATTAAATAATTCTTTTCTGTTGATGTTAACTTTCTTATAGAATTCTCTGAATTATTTCTCTCTTGATTTCTATATATTGAATATTGTATCTTCTTTTTTTTCTTTTCTCTTCTCTGGTAATTCTTTACAGTTGTTCTAGCTCATCGTTTAAGATCTATGTGTAGGCTTCATTTTTTTCTTTTGTTGCACTTTTGCATTTATCGTCAAACTAATAGTTAAGGTTTTAAGGGATAGGTGTGGTAAACTTTTTGCATCGTTTTTAGGGTCAGCAAACTGAAATTCTCAGCAAAATTCAGCTTAGTCGTATGATTTTTGGAGGTTCAGTGGCATTTTCGCCTCTGGCGACTCTGTATATTCTATAAGTAGAATGCTTTGACTGATCACTAAAAACCGATTCCGCATTTATATCAGAAGATGTGATAGTATTTGGATTAAAAATTTAGGAAGCTACATTTTTGGTATCCTGTTTAAAAAATAACAATAGTATCATTACTATTAGTTATAATTTAAATCACTAGTATAAATAACTATAGAAATTTATGACTTGTTTTTAAGGTTTTTATTTTTGTACATACTACTCTATTGCGACATGCCTTAAACTAAAGAAAAATGTGAAAAAGATCAAACTTTTTTCGATTGTTAATTTTTTCAAAAATTGAAATTGCCTTTTCAAAATTGCACCCATATGAGAACAATTGGACGTTTTTGGTCTTTTTAATATCCTATTATTAAATGTTTTTTCGTATTAATTCCCAACAAAATCAATCTACTGACTCTCGAAAAATTTTCCTCTTATGATATTATTATTGTTCTGAAGCTATTATGATATTAAATTCGAAAAAAAAAGAGGAAACATACAAAAATTATAAAGATTGCGAAAAAGAAGCTGCAAAAGCAAAATCAAAGCTTTAGGAAAACACCATTCTCCTAAGACTTAAAAAGTATACCCTTAATAATCAGCATAT